GTTGCACAGACACTGTGCTCTAACACTGCAGTCATATATACACTTTGTTATTGTCCTGTTCAAGTGCTCATCATTTACCAAATCAGCCAGCAGCAGTGCAGTTAAGCATCAGGATGGAGAGTGAAGCTGATGTAACTGATGGTGCTTGATGATGTCAGACGTCCAGTTTACTCACACAACCATCTGAAATATCGTTGAGTGTTATTTGTGAACTTTTTTGTGCATAAAAAAAGTGTTGTTAATGGAGCCGTTCACACCAACTGCATAATTTTAAACAGGATGAATTATATTCTTGGTTTTTTCAGACCTAGCTCAAATCTCTTTGGGGGGGGGTCTTTTTCTTCTGCTGCCTTCTGTGAATCGGATGAACTGAGAATCTCCATTTCTTTTTTTTCTTGTTTAAAAACATCAGGATCACCTCATCACAGCTTGATGGGTTTTTTTAGGACCAACGTTTTCTGAATTTCTTAGTGTTGTTATTGTTTTCATCGTTGTGCATTTCCTGTTTTACTTTGTTTGGTGGTACCTTAACTGGTTTCAGCTGTTCCTTTTTCCTCTTCTCCACAGTTAACAGATCTCAGTCCTTTGCAGCAGCAGGTTTAATGATATCGAGCAGCTTTGACTATTTTTAAAGTATCTTTCAAATAAAAGTGGCATACATGCAAGTGCACCAAAACACCACACGGAGAGCACAAGTGCCACAGTCTCTCTGTTTTATGCCTGCCAGCATTTCAAAGTTCATTAACATTTCATGGTGTCAGTGTGCACTCATTAAAGATGCCGGGCTGCTGTGATGATCCTATGAAATAAATTCTTAAATCACAATCTCCATCTATCACCTGCTGGAGACTCCTCTGTATCCTGCTAAACGAAACACCAATCACTTTATTACTCAAACTCTGCAGGGAGGTCTGAGATCAGTTAAAAGTGTTGACGTGCTGCAGAGTTCTTGAGCTCAGCTCACACCCGAAACGAGCGCTCTGCTCTCGTTTCCTCCCTCACGAAACATCTCGATGATGCACTGAACAGCTGACCCTGCAGGACACACCTGTGAGGTTCAGAGTGCCGTCCCCTCAGCGGCCCCTGGAGCCTCCACTCTGTTTCAACTCCACCACTGAGTGAAGATGAAAGGAGAGAGAGAGGAAGGAGCGTCGACCAACAGGAGGGAAACTCGGACTCTGCCGTCGCTCCGTGTTCGTTTGTATTTGTATCGTCATCCTCGCTGTCTTCTGATTGTTGGGTTTTCTGTGCATCATTGAACCGTCTTTACTTGAGACGAATGTGGTTGGGCGCCGTATCAATAAAATAAAAGTATTTTGTTTTTCTTGTTTGGAAAAAA